GGGGGCTCCGGCGGGGGTGCTGTTGACCAGGCTATACCCGGCCAGGGAGAGGCCCGGCCCCCTGGCCCGTGGGGGCAGCAGGGAGGCGTGCAGGACTCTCTCCTCTCTGAACATACCCTCTGACGTCAGGCGGGCTCTGCGACCGAGCCGATGAGCGACCAACGACAACCTGTGCGGACACGAGGCTGGAAAGATGCTCTCTTTCCTAACCACACTGCGGACCCCACGATGGCAGTGGCTGGGGAAACAAAGACCCACGACAGCCACGTGAGACAAAGCGCTGACATTCTCTCTCTGCTGCATTAACAATACCTCGCTCCAACTCCACCAAAGAGGAGATTAACGAGGACGGGACCCTGTGTTTTAGACGGTTGGAAGGATTTATGGGTAATAGAAGGATTCCAAAATTAGCATCCATCTGTCAGCATGAGGACTGACACACAGGAGAGCTTTGAGGGTGACGGAAGACCCCCATTAGGGATGCCCACGGAATGCGGAGGGTTGGCACGGCGGGGCTCCCTAAGTGAGCTGAACGCCTCGCAAAGCCGTAACTAATACCAGCGACATATAAAAGAGCATGCTCACTAACCTCCCGTCCCCACGAGGACGCCACGGGGGGCGTTCACACCCAGAGGAGCCGACAGCCACAATCCTGCGGTCACGTGCTTCCAACTCCTTAGTCTTTTCACGCTTCGCTTCATGCAGAAAATAAATAAATACAACTTCTTACTTCAAAACCCCAGGTTTCTGAGTGCGTGCAGGCACCCTACGTGCTTTGCCTAGTTCTCTACCGAGTCAGCTCTGTGAAGAAATACCCGGAGCAGGCGCTCATCACCCTTGTTATTTTAATTGTATTTTTCTACTATTAATGATTTGTTACGTAAATAAATGATGGTTGGTTGTTAGCTTACCGCTGTCATAAACAGGGTTTCCCAGCCTTGGCATGACTGGCACTCGAGATGGGAGAAGTCCTCGCTGTGGGGCTTGCTGGTCACTGGACGATGCTCAGCGGCACCCCACGAGCAAAACCACCCCTCACAGACAGCCTCCGAGTTCCTGCCTGCCTGCATCTGTAAAGTCATCCGCCACCCTTCCCGGCATCTGTAAAGTCATCCGCCACCCTTCCCGGCATCTGTAAAGTCATCCGCCACATCTCTGCATCCTGCACCTTCCACTCACCCCCTCTGCCGTCCCTCGCAAGCAGCTTGGCGTCTACGGAAGGATTCGGAAACGGCCACCCACCCGAGTAACCGTGGATTTCTCCCTTGGACCCACGAGTACATTTTCAATGCTGACAGATGATGCTCCTCGGCCAGGAGAGGCCCCCAGCACTTACCGAAGCCTTTCAACGCCCGTGTACGTGGGTACCAATCTCGGGAAGGGTCTTTGAAGAGAAAGGCCCTGAGCATACCCCCTTCCCTGGCTTTCCCTGCCTCCCGTGTGTCACTGGTGTGTGTGCCATGTACCAGCTCCCCTGTTCACCAGGAGAGACCCATCTCCCAACGCTCGTCTTGTCCGCTGCCTTTAGGAACCCAGATCACAGGATCCTTACCCTCAGGCGTCAGGGACCCGAAGCATCAGCTTCCTCTCTGTCCAGGCCTACTTCCGCTCCCCACTCATGCAGCTCTCTCCCTCGCAAGCATCCTCCCTTCTCAGAAGAGCAAACTCTGCTCCCCACTCCTCCTGTCCTCTAAAGACAACGGCGCAGGGACCCGTGGTTCTGACCGCAGCAACTTGCTCACCCCTAACCTGCCCTCAATTCTCCCTTTGCTGGCGTTTTCTCCCTGCCTGTCGGGAAGTAGGGGAATGTGTGGAGAATTACGAGTCGGGGGTTTTGTCCCTGTTCAGGCCACCGGCCACGAGGTCTTGGGCACAAAGCACCAGCTGCCTGTGCCTCGGGCTCATCCACCATTCGCTGCGATCCTGTCTGTGCTATGGGCAGTCAGCGCACATGGTGGAAATAAAGGGTTTCCACACAACCGGGACCTCAGGCACCCCTGCACTCCCGTGTGCTCTGCATAGCTCACGGCAGCCAAGGCTCAGGAACTAGCCAAGCATCTGCCAACAGATGGACAGAGAAGACACATTCTCTACACAGACGATGGAATATCACTCAGCCGTGAAAAGAAGAAAATAGTGCCATTTGCTACAACAGCAATGAACTGGGGGGATGTGATGTCACACAGAGAGACAAATGCAGTATGAAAAGAAATGTGGGGGGCGTGGGGGGCTCAGTCGTTAGGCGTCTGCCTCCGGCTCCGGTCATGGTCCCAGGGTCCTGGGATCGAGCCCCGCGTCGGGCTCCCTGCTCCGCGGGAAGCCTGCTTCTCCCTCTCCCTCTCCCCCTGCTTGTGTTCCCTCTCTTGCTGTCTCTCTCTGTCAAATAAATAGATAAAATCTTAAAAAAAAAAAAAAGAAAAAAAAAAGAAAAGCAATGTGGAATCTTGAAAAAAGAAAAGAGGTCGAACTCACAGACGCAGAACGGAACACGCTCGCTGGGGGCAGAGACACGGGGGGAGGTTGGTCCAAGGGACACGTGTTCAGTTTTACGATGACCACGTTCCGCGGACCCGGTGGACAGCATGGAGACCACACTTAATAATACCGTGCTGTATACTTGCTACGGCCTTCAACAGTAGATCGTAAACATTCTCACCACACACCAAAACATGGTGCATAATAGGTGAGTTGATGAGTGTGTTAATTAACTGATTTGTGATCATCATTTCATAATCTGTATGCATATGAAATCATCACGTTTCCATTTCAGATGTATACAATTTGACTTGTCAGTTATACCCCAATAAAGCTGGGACGTAGGGCAGGAAGAACATCCCCCTGCCACCCCACTAGGAAAAGAAAAAGAAAGAGAAGAAAAAGTCACCAAAATGATGAAGCGCTAGACAAACAGCCCTTGTTAGGAGGAAGTTAATCCATCTACACCTTTACAGCTACAAGCAATTCACTGACAATTCAACCAAATCCATTCCAATTCAACACACTTATGGGGCAAAAACCAGATAACCGACAT